AGATGTCGGCCACAGAGACTGGCGAAATGTCAGGAAGAACAACCTTCAGAACACGGCCAAGGAGCCCAAAAAACCCGGAACAACCATCTATACACACTCATTACCATGGTATTGCTCTATAAACTTTTAACAGCGACAATCCTATGCAGTGGTTAGGAAACTCTGCTATCTAGTGGCTGAAGATAGTTCTGCAGGCTTAGCTAATGTGTGCTTTAGCGCAGTGGTCCCCAACCTTGGGCCTCCAGATGTTCTTGGACTTCAACTCCCAGAAATCCTGGCCAGCAGAGGTGGTAGTGAAGGCTTCTGGGAGGTGTAGTCCAAGAACATCTGGAGGCCCAAGGTTGGGGACCACTGCTTTAGCAGCCAGATATGCCCTCCCCAGGTCCCTCTTAGTATGCACACTAGTTTCAGGTACCAGAATTTCATGGTTTAGTTACTATTGCTAAGACACACCCTCCCCTCCTGCCTCATTTTATACAAGAGAAAGACATATTGCTTCTATTGATGTCCCAGCCATGAGACTGATCAAGTTTACACTGGATTTGTTTCTGCAGCAGATACACACAGACCACTGGGTCCAAGACAGACTTTTCAGATAAAGTGTAGAAACATTTAAAGCCTTCTTTTATTCTTTACACGAATTGCTGCACAAGGTAAGAGAAAGAACATGTGTGTATGAATGAGAATGAATGGGTATACGGGCATTGGGCATTCCTTATAAGTAGCTGGTTTCACAGCCAGCACGTTTCCACTATAAACTTCATAATGTTCTATTTTGGCGTAAAATGCAGTTGAGTGACAAGAGCAAAAACAATAAACCTGGCAACTATACATTTCCATTTGGAGTTTGTAAACTGGATTTTCCATTGTTTCAGTGCCACAGATGGCAGACATTTGTCATGCCAGATGTTTTGGACTACAATGCCCAGAATCCTCGGCGTTTATTGCCAATGATAAAGAACTGTGGGCAAAATCACTGAAAATGTCTGGCTTGACAAAAGGTTTGCCCCCCACCCCGTGGCACTGAAGAAAGAACAAGGTTAGTTTACAAACTATTTTTTTGTGAATGTACTATACTGTGTTAGGCTGCAAGAAAGAAGTCACTTAAAAAACCTAAGCTATTGCGACTTAAAGAGTTGCGGAGGGGGGAGGATTTGTCCTTCCCTTTAATGGCAACATTAAATAGCGACGGGACGCCTCCAGCAGCACCTTACAGTTGAGCGGAAAGAATGACAGAAGGAGAAACCCACGTGGAACTACAATTCCCGGCATGCCCTGTACCCAGGTGGGCGGTGTGGTCGATGTCTCCCGTGTTAGCCAAAGTGACTACAATTCCCAGCATACTCCTGGGTCCCGTGGTCAATTAGAAGCTCTCTGTTGCTCCGAGAAGCCAGATCAAAACTGGGTTCCCGCGGCGAGGCACTGGGCAGCATGTGCCCTCCAGGGGCATTTTTGGAGCCCCTGAGCAATTTTATTTTATTTGCTCATGAGGTTACCGTATTGGATCAATTTTACCCCGTTTTGAGCGTCTCCCAGCAGCTCTGTTACTCCACATACAGTACCTCCAAGTTCTAAAGATTCGTGTTTTGCTTCATTGTGACCAGTAGGGGGTGCGGGAGAGCTTTTGCCAGGGCAGCAAACTGGTTTTAAAAACTAGGTAGGGTGATGCAGAGGCGCTGTACCTGATAGGGATTTTTAAAAAATGAGATTAAAGAGAGAAAAAGGAGAGAGACTGGGGCCAACCAGTGGAGCGTGTTTAATAGGAAGGCAGGGCTTTCCCGTCTGGACCGTGTGTCTCTTTTAAGGCGGTGTACATAAATGGCTATAATCAATCAAATCAAATCCATCAATCAATAAAAATTGGGAGAAGTGAAATCTTTTGTTTCGTTTCTCTGGATGTTGCCTGATATACATGCTTGGCTTGTACATGCCCTTGCCTTAAACAAACAAACAAACAAAGACCAGGTGCTGCCAGAGTTTTGTAGATCACGGAAAGAGGCAAAGAAAGGGGTAGATCCTGCAAAATTGGATTAGGAGTATGGGGGGAGAGAGAGCGTTTTCCTGGCGAGGCTGAATTTCTATGCCGTGTATAGGTCCACCTGGTCTCTCTCTCTCTGATCTCTCCCCATTCCCTGCCATCACCATCCCAGCCCTGAGCAGGGAAATTGCCCCAGAGGGAGACCACAGCTGCGATACAAGGATATCTGCAAGTGGGATGTGAAGGCATTAGGAATGGACCTCAAAAGATAGGAAACCCTGACATCTGAGCATTCAGCCTGGAGGCAGGTGGTGCATCATGGCCTCTCCCAATTTGAAACTTGAGTTTGCGAGAGCTAAGCAGGGTTGTTGCGGACAAGATCGTTTGGAGATCTATCAGAGGCGACCCAATGGTACATAACAACAACAACCAAGAAGATGACATGGGACATGCACTAACAACTAGCGTGGCTGGAGCCCAAAATATACAGTTCAAGATCCCAGTGTTCTTGGAGGTCAACTTATCTAAAGTAAGACAAAGACAGGAACAGGCAATACCTTTAA